AGCCAGATATTTTTGTGGTTTACCTAGTATGTGACACAGCCTAGAATTTAGCATATGTGTGACTTCAAAAATGATAATCTTTCTACTATACCATTCAGCAAATCATGAAATGGGTGGCAAGTCATAAAGATATCCTATTTTAGTTTTACTAATTGTAAAAGAAGCTAAGTAGGCTGACAAGTCCAGGCACAGCTGGAATTTCTAGAATATTTCAAAAAAAATTATATGCTTTTCTGAATCTCAGACCTAAGACAAATTAGTCAAAGGATTGGGAAAATGGGAAAAGGTGTTATAATTCTCCTTTGAGAATTAAAGTTTAATAATCAATATAGAGTCATTACTGATTTGAAGGAATCCACTGATACCATGAAACACGAGAGCAGGAAACGCTTAGGAGACAGGTAGGAGAGAAGTAGTCATGATTGAGATAATGGTCAGTCTTGCACGTAGCTGCTTGCATGTTGTAAATGTGTGTACATGGCTTTGTCCAATGCTAAGGATGAGACATTGCTGCAAACATAAATATTAATATGTTTATATGTATAGTGTACTTTATATAAATCCTATTGTTAGATGCTGTTGACTTGGTTCTGACTCATAGAGACCCTATGGACAACAGAGCAAAACATCACCCAGTATCAGGCCTTCTTCATAATCATTTCTAAGCTTGAGCCCATTGTCACAGCCACTGTGTCAATCATCTCCCTGAGGGGTGTTCCCCTTTTTTTATTGACCCACTATTTTACCAAGCCTGATATCCTTCCCAGGGGCTGGTCCAGCAAATGCCTAAGGCCCTTGCATAAAATGATGTATTGTTGTTGCTAGGTTCCACCGAGTGTAAGTTTCAACTCATGGTGAACCCATGTACAACATAATGAAGCACTGCCTGGTCCTGAGCCATCTGCACAACTGTTGCTGTGTTTGAGCCCATTGTTGCAGCCATTGTGTAAAGAAGACACAAATCCTATCAGTGGGAGCAAAATAAGTCCTTAAATTAGAAATTCTAACCTTTGATCCTGTGATGAAGCTTGTTGGAGGTCCAAACGTCATTTAAATGTACTCTATAATGTTTAAGGAGCTCTGGTGGCATCGTGCCTAAGGCATTTGACTGCTAAACAGAAGTTTGGTGGTTCAAACTCACCAGCCACTCCGCTAAAGGAAGACTGGGCAATCTACTTCCGTAAAGATTTACCACTTTGGAAACCTAAAGGGGGTCAATATGAGTTGGAACCAACTTGATGGCAGTAAGTTTGGGGTTTTTGGGGGGCTATAATATTTGCTGGCATTTTCCAGTGTTTTAATATTCGTTATCAACTCATTCTTTGTAAGCAGTTTGACAAAGGAATTTCTGAGAGGATGGTTTGAGCATATGTTGTGGAACGTTCCAACATGAAACCAGAAACCGATCTAAAATCTAAATGAGCAAAAACAATATTTCAGTGGCCAAATCAAAATCAGCACGAGCAAATAAAGTATTTTTGTCACTAAAAAAGAAAATGAAGCAAACTCTAATGATTGAGTTAGCAATGCTTTTGTAGACCTCTTAATGATCTCACCAATGACAATACAAAATTAAACTTTTTTTTTTTTTAACATCTAGAATATTTGTCATGAAAAAAGATCAAGACTGGTAGGACAAGTAATATCTTGTGTGGTTTAAGTTTTCTTTTTTAAAAATTTTTAAAATTATTTTTTTAAATGCATTTTATTGAAATATGATTTATGTACAGTGAAATACAAAAATCTAAAGTGACATGGGTCAATGCATTTTTTTTGTTTTTGTTTTTGCAATATTCCCTCCCCTCCCCTCCCCTCTCACCCCTGGCAACCAACAAAGAAAGTTTCCCTCCATATATAAACCTTTACTTGACCCTCCACAACAATGAACTAGTACTATATTTGTCCTTCTGTGTGATTGACTTATTTCACTCAGCACAATGTCCTCCAAGTTCATCCATATTATGTGGTGTTTTGCAGACTCTACATTATTCTTTAGTGCTGCATGGCATTCCATTATATGTATGTACCATAGTTTGGTTATCCAGTCTTCTGCTGATGGGCACATAGGTTGTTTCCATCTTTGTGCTATTGTAAATTGTGCTGTGATGAACATGAGCATGCATGTATCTGTTCCTATCCTGGCTCTCACCTCTCTAGGATATACACCTAGTAATGGTATTGCTAGGTCAAATGGTGTCTCCAATTCCAACTTTCTAAGGAATCACCATATTGCTTTCCACAGTGGTTGTGTCACTTCACAGTCACACAAGCAGTATAAGAGAGTGCCAATCTCTCCACATCCCCACCAGCATGTGTTATTTTCTGTCTCATTGAACCTTGCCATCAGTGCTGGGGTAAGACAGTATATCTCATTGTTGTTTTGATTTACATCCCTCTGATGGCCGATGATTGTGAGCATCTTTTCATGTATTAGCTGACCACCCGAATATCTTCCTTGGTGAAGTGTCTATTCATGTCTTCTGCCCATTTTTCAATTGGATTGTTAATTCCTTTGGTGTTGAGGCATTGGAGTTCTCCATCAATCTTCGAGATAAGTCCCTTGCCAGATATGTAATTATCAGCAAATATGAATTTGTTGCTGTCATTTTTGTCATCTCCTTTTTCATTGTGTCAATTTCTTTGTTCCATATAATTTTCTGTGCTGAGCTTGTTTTGTTTATGAATCATGTTATCACTTCCTACATCGCTATTGTTTTAGTATTTGCTGAATATTTATGCTGGTCCTCTTTTTTATTTTGATGTGAAGGTTTATCATTTTTCTTTGAAGTTGCATAGCTGGGTTGGTTTTTGGGTTATATCATCATGTGTGTTAATGGTCATTTGTTGTTGGCTGTTGTAGCATTTCTGTCCAAAGGGATCCCTTTAGCATCTCTTGTAAGGTTGGTCTGGTTTTAACAAATTCCCTTCATTTCTGCTTATCTGGAAATGTCCTAATTTCCATCATATCGAGGGACAATTTTGCTGGATACAAAATTCTTGGTTGGAAATTTTTCTCTTTCAGTGTTTTATATATACCATTCCACTGTCTTCTCTCCTGCATGGTTTCTGTCGAGAAATCCTAGTGTAATCTTATTGGTTGCCCCTTGTAGGTAACTTTTTGTTTTTCCCATGCTGCTCTCATGATTCTTTCTTTACCTTTGGTTTTCATGAGTTTGATGATGGTATGTCTTTGAGTTTTTCTTTTGGGGTCTATCCTGTTTGGGGTTCATTAGATTTCCTGAATGGATATGTT